AAATCTGATTGAACTTTAAATTGAATTTCATCTCTACGCGGATGAATAAAACCACCTCCACTTTGACGCCAATTTCAACGTCTCAATATTTTTAACAGCGAACGCATAAGCGACCGGTTTTACCGATTCGTATTTGTGGCTAATTGTCCATTAAACGCGCACTCAGTGTACTCTGTACTCAATGGCAGTATTCGAGACGTCGCTCGAGTGGCGCGTGAAAAATCGCTCGCACTCGAGGCCAACTGCAGCGATATCATCGTGTAAATAAAAATGTAACAAAGTGGCAGCACATTATACTGTTGTGACAATTGTGTGCCAGGCTCCAAGCTTGCGTGCGCATACTCGAATGTATAATAATATCTATAAATGCAAGGCAACGATTACATTATAACGCACGGAGAGAGAGAGAGAGAGAGAAGAACCTAAAAGAGCCGCGTTTAAGAGAGAAAAAGCAGTGACAGCGCAACAGACAGCAGCAGCATAATGGCTCGATGATAAAATATACCTATATATGAGAAGCGACGGTAGCTCGCGTACACGCATACGTGCATATACAAGCATATAAGTAGTATAACATATAGCGAACACAGGCAACACAGCATCCACTCCCTCTTGTCATCTTTCCAGACTTTATTACGCTCTCCCCATTTATATTCAGCAGCTATACAGCAACTGCAGTTATATAGCGCACAAGACGATGAAGGTATTGAACCGCGGGGCTGAGCGCGGGTATAGATATACTTTATAAGCGCGGGTGTTCTAGCTCGCGTATTTATTATATGTTATGTATAGAGCTACCCGCATTATTACAATGCCACGCCTCGAGTGTCGTGTGTCTTATGTGTTGGTTTTGTTACGTGCCTCGATACGATATGATTAGGCCGAGCGGTTGTGTGTATCTGGTCTATAGGAATATAAGTTTCTTCCGACCTTTCCCCACTTTGTCTGTATCCGCTTTCGATACCGATCGAGCAGGAACGAAGCTTACCGATTTTATCAATTTTTTTTTTTTTTAAACAACAACGACGACGACGACGACAGCAACGAGATACAAGTGTACAGGAATGACAGAAAAATGTTGCACTCGTCGACATGATCGCTCGCTTATTTTATAGGAATGCGCGCGCGCGGACGGCGGGCCGCCTACGATCAGCTGCGCGATCGCCATAGCCACGATGGAGGCCAAATAGCAGCAGGTAGACAGCCTTAGAGAGAGAGAGAGAGATTGTCATATAATGACATAACGTAACGGGGCCCTCCTGTAAAGACAGGTATGTCTTTTCGCAATGGCCTAATAATGACATACAGTGGTCGCGTGTCGATCGCTGCTATATTTATATGTCTGCAATCACCTATCGATTATGATTTGTTCCGAACATTCTCGAGTTCCAAAAATTGGATCATTTTTATTTTAAACACGAGACTATGTCGTGTGTAATCATATCGGAAGTGTCGAGGCAATTGTATACACATCACGTTGCACGACGACTATTACCACTATATTTACTACGCACTACTACCGTGTGTACGTACGCGAACCGCGAGAGATCTCGAAACTTTTTTTGCTCCATCTTTTCTTATACGCTGCTTACTCTGCTGCTCCTTTCTCGCGACGCGCGCGCGTATCATCGTGGAAGGCGCGCACACAGCACGGCGCACACCGTGTCGCGCGCGCGAGCGCCTCTTTTCTGTGTTTCGAGGTCGCCCGGCGAGTCGCGTGTATACGTACAACACACCGCGAGCGAGCGAGCCTTAATATATATATGGTATATCTGTATATTATATATAAATGTGTAGCGGCTTTCGAGCGCGTGCAAAAAAAAAGGACGAGGCGGAAGTGCACGTGCCGCGAGCTTGAGATGCGCGCGACGATTTCGTCGTCGTGTATATATACGTTCTATAACAGCCAAGACACGACACCTCGACGCTATTTTATGACTCGAGTTACGACGATGATCGGCGGATTCTATATTATCCACATACAAACATGACGCGCCGTGAAAATTTTCCCGATTTTTCCATGTATCCGAGCGTGTCCTCCTAATTTATCGACAGGTGAAAGTTTTCCCCATCGGCATAATGGAAGATTTGCCATATGTACGCGCGCGCGCGAGAGTTCGTCGACGGAGCTTAATTTGCGTTTATGCATTATGCGTACGGCGTGTACGATGGTCAATTTGATCGATGAAGTGGCCGATTGACAATTGCAGCACGACGGCGTACGTACTTTTCAAGGAGGGAAATGAGTTTTTTCAACCGACAACAGGATATTGAACGTTTCGCGACGACGACGACGACGACATGAGCTTTTGAGTGCGGATGGCATGCAACTTTCGCGCGCTTAAATGCCATATTGCGTACGTTTAGTAATTGCATTATACGTGCGAGGCGATCTACGATTATTCGCAATTAGAATTCGCATGGATCGATTTGAATTTCTTACTTTTTTCGGTTCAATTAGCAGATATATCAACGTACACGTGCGCGGCTCTCGTTGTGCAATGTTATATTATACTCGCGGACGCGATTATAATATATATAATGCACAATCTCGCGAGACGCCTCGTTACGATTCACTCGCGGTTGTTGCCTGCGAGCTGCTTGGCCGCTACTACTAGTACTACTACTACTACTACTATGCGCCGGGGCCTTCTTTACCTTTATTACGTATGGAATACAATGACTCACACGTTCGCTTTTATTATACACAAAACACCCACAACAACAACTGTATATATATACGAGGTTGAGGCGGAATCATCGGGCAACCTTTTGCGGGCGCCTCGTTGCGATTCACTCGCGGCGCTGCTTCTTGTGCAAGTATTACATATTATAGCATACTTTTTTTTTTACTTTCTCGCGTGCACATAGGTGTAGGTGTGGGTTATACGTATACGAGTACGTGTCGAAATTTACAACACAAAGATATTATATGGAACCTGTGCGTACGCAGAAAACAAGTGTAAGTATCTCTTACTCTTTTTTTTTTCGTATTTTTGCGCGCGAAATATATTTTTTCCCCTACGAGATTACGATGTAAGCGAGACGCGCGCACCGATAAGAAAAACTCGAAAGTTGGGTATTTCAACTGTGTGTGTACTCCTGGGTAAAAGCTTTGATACATTTGTTAGCCTCGGCCTCTCTCTCTCTCTCTCTCTCTCTCGTCGTCGAACCAAATGAAATTTGAATAGAGAACTTCGAAATCACTGCAGCATGCATCCGTAATCTGATAAACCCAAGCGCCTCAACAGCCGACGCCGCCAAGCCAAGCCGAGTCTCGAGTTGCTCCAATTACACGTGCGCGCGCGGACGTTGAAAAGAGAGAGAGAAAGAGAAAAAAAACTGCACATTAGCTTGTAAAAAAAAAGTTTTGCTCTCGAGCTTTCCGATGTAAATAGATTTGCGCACCCGTTAACAGGCGAAGCTATACGCAAAAATCACTCACGGCTGTAGGAACTTAATATAGAATGATTGCACTGCAGAGAGCATATATATGGTTGATTCTCCCGAAATCTGCTTTTTCGAGTATGGAAAACGAAAAAATGGTGAAAATTTTTTTGTCATATTGAACGGCGCGAACTAGTTTACCCTTTTTTAAACAATAAAATATGAATAATTATTGAATCTGGGGCTTTGATATTTCGTTTTACGAAAACTATGTCCGATTTTATGCTTAAAATCGACTATTTTGGGTTACGGAGGTGACACACACGGAGGTGACAAATCGCTGCTTTGATCAACTATGTAAGAAAAATAAGAAACGCACAAAATTTTCCGCACAACCCGAAATTTGGTCATGAAAAACGAGTCTTTTGACGAGGCGAGCGGTTAAAAAGAATGATCATAGCTCGAGATATTCATGTCCACGGAGGTGACCGTTTTTTTGACACACGTGAATTTTTCAATAGAATAATTATCGCAGCATCGATAAAATGTAAAATTTGAACCCGCAACCTACACCAATCGAAAGCTGGGCTATAATACTTGACATTTACGTATCTAGCGACATGAAAAATGAGTTAGCGACCCAAAGCAGGCGGTATGTTTGAAATTATTCAGAAGCATGATTAAAATCCGAGACATTTTTCAATTGCGTGGGAAATTTTTTTAAAACATTTTTCAAAGCCCTAAAATAGACTTAAACTTTACTCTGGATGTATAGAAGCTGGTCTCATAGTTATTATAGGGTCAGGTGCTAATGAGAATGCATGGTACATGCAAATAGAGTTGATTTTGAGATGTAGACATCCCACGGAGGTGACATTTGGCATGTATATCTTCACGGCAAATTTAACTGACCCTAAAAAATTGAAATATTTATGTCCTATCATGAAGAATACAACAATATTGAATGAATGACCGAGCCAGTTTTGGCTCATCTTCACTATTTTAAGAATATGGCATAAAGACATGCAAAAAGCAGATTTCAGGAGAATCAACCATATATGAGTATACAAACATTTTCACAGCGCACGGCTGAGGGAAAATGTGTATCAAGTATGCATGGGATATTTAACGCCTGTATTTTATGTACTTTTACGATATATCTTTCGAAAGTATATAGTTGCTCGCGATTATATATAATATATATTTTTAATAGCGGAACCGTGTCAATATTACGTAAATATTGTAGTAATATTGCTACATTTTTCATGGGTTGTTGTTGTCGTTGTTGCATTACAGTACATACACACAGAATAAAAAATTGTCCGGATGCTCGTCGTCGCAGATCGATATTATAAATGTCTGTTGTCTCTCGAGTCTGCGGCCAGACCATGTGCTTTCGAAATTCCGGCGCGAACATATTATACGCGCGGAATCGACGAAATATTTCGAATTCCCTTATACACGTCCTCGGTAAATCACGGCCATAATTTTCATATTAAAATATACACGCATATAATTATATCTCTGCGTCTCGCGCGCTTCGAGTTCCTCTAGTTCTGCCCTTCGAGCCGCGAGTTTTATTTTATTTTCATCAAGTAGATAGGTGTACTCACGTTAACCATTCGGATTGATTCGTCTCTTTTCGGATGTTGCTTAGCGTGAAGTTGACCGACACGCCTCGAGGCTTGCATACACTTTTTTTTGCTAGGAATTTCCTCGTGCTAAAATTTTTCTTCTTCTTTCTATACACTCTGTTCGTCGACCTTCGCGCACAACAATATGTATCGGTATGTGTATACGATTTATAATATGTAATAAAGCTGTATACAAATGCCCGATCGATTTCACCAAAAAAACAACAATAATACGATATAACAATCACATGATCGAATAATGAGAATCAACACAATTTATCACACAAACTTCCCAAAAAAAGTGAAGGAATCTCAACGATATCGAGTAACGAGCCTTCGATAAATCGAGATCGGCAGCACACCCGCGAAAACAGAGTTAAGAGCGAGTCTTTGCCAAGGCGGCGGTTGAGTACCGACTGGCTGGCTCGGCTCCGTGTATCATAGGAGAGGCTCCTCTCTGCGGCCTCAGCTCTCTCGCGGGAGTGAGCCGCGAAAAAAGAGTCCCTACTTCAATCTTACGTTTTATAGGTATATATGTATGCGTCGTTGTGTGTGCAGTATCGGTGTGCAGTGTGCAGAAACTCGATGTGCCGGAGAGAACGGTAGCAACAGCCGGAGCTCGTGTGTGCTGCTTCTCTCTCTCTCTCTCTCTCTCTCTTACTTGCTCGCTCGCGCTCACTCGCTCTTTCGAGTATAATGCCCAGAGTCAGTCTGCATGTGCAAAATGTGCATGAGGCTTTCTCTCTCTCTCAGCGGCACTCAAGAGTCAGCAGCGGCAAAGCAGCTATCTTACCTGTCTGTGTGAGTGCGTTTAAAAGGAGGGGATTTCTGCCTTCTCTCTCTCTCTCTATGTACAAAAGTTTCCTGTGTATAATGCGAGAACTCCAGACTTGCATAGGTACTCTCATATACATGTGTGTTTGTGTGTGAGTGAGCCTCTGGTTTCATGTTCAAGTACTCCACTGCACACCGTACTCGACGTCGTCGTACGTACGCGTAGCTAGCTAGGCTCTCTGCGAGCTCCTCGTGCTGTACGCGCAACTATAAGAGAGAAAAAAGCCGATGCGCTCTTGCTAGTAGGTATATGCGTATCCACGCGCGCGTGGGTGTACATGTCTATGTCGAGATGTATTTTGCCCTTCGCTCGCGGCAGCCAGGCAGCGGCTCAAAGAAGAAAAGCGCGAGGGTGGTGCAGTATGCAGCACATTTCCGTTATCAGTACCAACGACGTACACTATATGTGCACAGGGGCTAAAAAATATAAGCGTAGCAGCGAACGCACTACCGCTGCACGAGCCCGAGACAACTCGCTTCTTTTCAATTTTTTTCTCTCTCTCTCTCTCTCTCTCTTTTGCTCGTTTCTAACTTTGCATGTACATAGGTACATACGCGTTGCCTAGGCATCGTGTCGCGCGCGCTGTTTGTCCATTCTGTATACTACGGCTTCTCTTTACGCTTCGCGCGCGGTGCACGATAACAGCTAGACTTTTTTTGGCTGCAGCAGCTACGGAGCAGGTCTATGTGATATGATTTACGTAAGTCGCGCGCGACACGCGTAAGGGGTGAAAACGTATAAATATTATTCGCAACTTTGATTCTATTTTTTTTTTATTTGTCGTTGAAAGGAGTTCGAACGAAAAATAATGTCACGACTATTACGAGGTATAGGGTAAACACGGGTGGGTTGCATTGTACGCGTGGGCGAAAGCAGCAGCCTGCGCACTTTACCGCGAGGCATAATACAAGCAACGCGTAGAAAAATTACTCGGCACAATATGAGCGAGAGAGATATCGCAAACATCGTGTATTCTATACTTATGCGACACGTGTTGTCGCGCGTGCGATTTATTCACCGAGTATATTACGCTCCAATGAGACAATCTAGATACAAGTGTTTTACTCCTATTGTTTTCTAACTGTATGCTGCGGTTGAGCTGTACACAAAGCACGACAGAGGAATGGCATTGCACTGCGACGAGAGAAAAATTTTAACTGACATTTCAGGAATGAGGAGACTAGATTTATTTTTTAATGGTATGTTCATTACTGGACTTTTCTGTGGATGTAATACAGAAATTAATTACTTTTGTGAAAATTTTAATTAGACTTAGCTCATTCAGTTGAAAAACTGGATGCTTTTATTTAAAAAGAAAGTAGCTGTAATTTTTCATTGAGAATAAATTTTGAACCATCGAGTAAACCGCATCGAGAAGGATAAACGTCGACCCTGTACTCCATCTGTCATTTCTTTCTTCCGATTCGAATAATGTGACCGTCCTTCGGTAAAGCAGGACTCGCGAGGCTCGAGCTAAAAGCTGCCGATTATAAACCAGCTGGTAGAAATTCTCAGTCTAGTTTTTAGCTAACGAAAAAGTTTCTTGGATCTAAGATTAAAGAGAATGGTTACTTTGACACTTCTAAACTATGCTTAGACGTATACAATCGTTTTCACTTTGCCACTTGCAGATTTACGATTATAGGTACGACGCCATCTAGTGGCAGAGGGTTGCATTAATTATAATTGAGTTTTCCCGAGTTTTTTGAGCAATTAACGTAAAAAATAAATCAGTATTAGAACCTTAATTTTTAGAGAAAATGTTTAACTTTAAGTATTAAATTAGACGCGTATTCTACGATATTTTTACGATTCTCGGGATTGAATTTTAAATAAAAGTCGCATACTTTTTCTGCCTAGTAATTATACTATGCGATAGGATGATGTTTAGAACGAAGTGTTTAATGATTTATTGTAGGGACTTTTTACTTATGCAATTATTTTTACGTTGCCCCTTGCAGATTTGCAACTATTGATACTCGCCATCTAGTGGTAAAGGCTGGCTTTAATTATGATCGAATTTTCATACGTTATTTTTCTGTAAGCAGGTGGAATAATTTCTTGTAAAAGCATTAAAATTCATGAGATTCATTCAAATTTAGGACTTAATATTTTTTACTCAACTATATAACAGAAAAATCACCAGTATTATTAAATAATTTAAATGGTCACTTTTTGCGAAAAATGAAAACTTATATGCAATTTTTCATATGTAACGGCGTGTCGTTTGATTAAAACATACATGTCTTACAAAAATATTGACTCTGCCCGCATTAGAAATTATATTTCTTTTTGCTTACCTTTCGTCAAGCCCTTATCGTTGCGACTTCGCTACAGTTGAATATTGTTCAGCTTGCGGTACTCGCGAATACCACCACCTGCTCTTTTTTTTGTATCTTCGCGATGCGGGACAGAAGAAGAAGAAAAAAAATAGCTTCAAATTCAAATTCTCAGTTCGTAGTCGTCGAGCTGAAAGTATACCAAAGACCCTAGTGAGTGACAATATGCATCTGTCCACGTTGGATGGATCGGCCGTCGTTCTCGTGTCAGCCAGTGCGATATCTCTCATTCTGCTCGCCAAGAGGTATCTCGCGAAAATCAAACTGTCGTCCCAGGGCGTGATCCAGTGGCTGTCGGATATCGCGAACAGCATTTTAACCGCTGTTCTGATCGTTCTACATCGCTCGTACGTCGTGTCCGTGAGCGAAGTCGATCGAAGCTCGCGATCCAAAAGTGTCGTTGATTGTTCGCAGCTGCAGTACGCGATCATCTTCGTGCCGTTCGTCAATGCCTTCGCCTCGCTCGTCGTCGCGACGGCCAAGTGCTTCGCCGAAGTGAATCGTGTATCGAGGCTCTGCAAGCTCCAAAGAAAAGCCGAAGCTAGAGACGAGGAGGAAGCTGACATCGACATAATTCCCGAAGTACAGCAGCCGTCAAAGTGTAATAAATGTTGTATAACCGGCAAGAGATGCAGCAAGAGTCTCTGGTCGATGCTGGCCCAATGGCTGGTGCCGGCAATTTTCAGCGCCACCCTGAGTCTCGGTGAAAAGCTCGATCAGCGTCGAACGATCACCAACGAGAGTCTCGGTTGTACCTACGCGATGAATTTTCCTCTACTCGAGAGCGTCGTATGTCAAGGCGTCGATTACCTCAAAAGCGAGGATCACTTGATGTTCGTCGGCTTGAACGCGACCGATACCCTTGAAGTCATAAGAAAGATCTCCGAGATTTTGAAAGATGTGTCGACGAATTTGGAGGCAAATAAGTCGCACTATACCAGCGAGCAGATGATCGATATCGTGGAAGAAGTCAAAGAAGATTTTCGCTCTTTTAGAACAGGACGTTTGTTGCAATTCGATGCTTTGGGAACAATCAACTGCACGGAGGAGCATCGGAATGGCACGCGGTTGATGATGAACGAGCCAATGATGTCCAGTGATTATTTAAAAATTCACTTGAGCTCGTTTTTCTCCATTATTTATCTTTTGGCTATCGGAGTTTCGAGTTTATTGTTATTTCTATCGCGTAAAAAGTGCCAAAAACTCGATTTGAGAGTCGATCGCATCGATAAAAATGAAAAATCGGAGAAGTCACGAGAAAATGCGTGCGAACTAATGCAAGAGTGCGAAAATGTACAAGCTCATTGGCGCTTGATATTGATCAATGCCTTGGCAACGATCACGATGTGGAGTCCATTTTTTGTACAATTGATAGCCAAAATCTTGCTCTGTTATAAAGTGCCCGATTGGTTATCCGAAGTGGCTTTTATCGCCACCGTGCTATTCTCCGCCTTCAAAAATATTTTCAATGCCAAGATTACGCAAGTTCAAAATATCCAGGAACAAAGCACGAGCAAGAGCAATATCGTCCACCCGAATGCGTCGCAATCGACTTTTGTAAATTAATAGTTAAAAATAAAAGTAACAAAAAAAAAGTAAAAAATAATCAATCTCATTTTTATCCCCATTCTCACACCCTCGCCCATCGGCGCATCGAATTCGAATTTTTCGCGCGGGAAAATTTCGCGCGCGATCTGCGCAAGTACGCACTTGAACTTTTTGCAAGTTGCATGTATATAGTATGCGGACTACACGGACTGCGAGAGACGCGACACGGCCAGAATAGTAGAGTCGCATTAAATGCAGCAGTAGCAGCAGCAGCGACAGCGACAGCGAGCGCATCTCCGTGTGTATGAATGCGAGTGCGTGTGAGTCGCATGAATGTGTGTGCATGTGAGTCGATGCTACCAACAGCCACCAGTGCAGTACAGTGCAGTGCACAGTGCGTCGTCTGCTACTTGCTTACAAAGCACATCATAGCAGCAGCATAAATCGCGAAGGAAATAAAGCTCGTCCGTGAACGAAATCAAATTTCGTTCGTTCGTCGTCGCCTCGCGATAATCGATTTTTTTTTTCCAGTGCGTGGGCTGGAGCTCGTAAACACTGGGCTAGTCGAGTTCACGGGTATTCTGTGCCACAGAGTGCACAGAGACAGAAAGGTGAGTCGATCAGTGTTTGTATTTTCTTCAAGGCTTTCATTTCTGCTGTGGCAATAATAATTT